GAATCATAAACTAAACTGTATATGTATATATGTATCAAGGGTTACGTCCTTAGCTGGCTAATAAGCTATATAACAAGCTAAGCTAACAAGCACACAAACACCTGCTAACGGGGTTAACATGTATAATATTATCATTTTAGACTTCTTGGAAGTTCTGTTAGTACATTCAACCGCACAGCACGACATTTTAATTGTCTGGTTTTTGTAAGAACATTCCCTAAAAGGCACAATCACCACGAACACGGCTAAAGGGTCAAGTACAGTAACTACAACTAGCTAACGTTGTAGCCTAGCAGAGTGGACAAGTTGTTGTTAGCTGACAGTGAGGCACGTACCTGTCCATCAAAGTGACCACGTCCTAATTTATGCAAAAACTTTAAGACCTAATATAAATAAAAGGGTCGCGTTATAAAACAATTCACTCAACAATTCATAATCATGAAGGTGGAATCTAACTATATCCCGAATAATTTTTATTGCATCCAGGGGTAGAAACATGTTTATTTCTGCTGTAAAGTTGGGCAATTTAACATGGGGCTCTATGGAAATTCATCCTTTCTGCAGTCATCGCCTATCGGCCAATAGATGAACTGCAGTTTGTGGCACTTCCTTATTGGCGTCCCGGCTCTGCCCCAGAGTTTGCCGCTTGGTTCATGTCACTACCCGATCTGCACCCCTGCCCAATCTGCACTGCGCATGTGCGAGATGGTCCGCCATCAGGGGCGGCGGGTACTGTAGGCTAGGGAATGCTAAGCCTTCCCAAATATTTTTGTCACTGCATCCTGGTAAAATATAATGTATAATGTTTGTGTCTTTGACATTAGCGCTGCTATGCAGCAGAGGTGTGGACTCGAGTCACATGACTTGGACTCGAGTCAGACTCGAGTCACCAATTTGATGACTTTGGACTCGACTTGACAAAATCACAAAACACTTGCGACTCGACTTGGACTTGAACACCAATGACTCAGGACTTGACTTGGACTTGAGCCTTCTGACTTGAGGTGACTTGATAATTTAATTCAGGGGTCTCCAACACGCCGATCGCGAGATGCCGCTAGAAGAGCAGACTCCCGTCGGGGAGAGCAGAATCTTCAGCCGCTGCAACTCTTGGTGTGAATCCAATCCATGCAGGCAGGGGCGGGACTTTATTTTGCTTAGCCACCATGCGGCCAATCATATGCGAGGACACACTAGGATCATACCATTATGTGAAAGAAGGGTGGGGGGCAGACGCTCCAAAGACAGCAGGTGTAGTGGTACAGGCCAGCTACACAGAGCCACGGGGAGACGGGGAGCCGGATTTAAATGCAAGCGCGTCGGAAAAAGTCAAGCAATGTGCGAAAACCGAAAAAATAAGCAGCATCTGGCTGCATTTCAATGATATTGGAGAAGGCAAAGCTGAGTGCAGGATTTGTAAAATGAAAATAACCTTCAGAGCATTAGGTTTTCTTTTGGTAACCTTTTGGTAACCACTCAGGATTTATTGTCAGAGGTAGGAGAAGTTCAGATCTTGTACTTGAGTAACAGTACCAGAGTGTAGGAATACTCGGTTACAATAAAAAGTCCTGCATTCAAAATGTTACAAGTAAAAGTACAAAAGTATTAGCATCAAAATATAGTGAAAGTACCACCTGCAGAGGGATCTAGATTCAGGTGTTCTTTTCCCCATAGAGACCGCCTCGCTGCACATTATCCCTTGCATAAAAATAGATTGTGGGTCCCTTATAACATGTTGTACACAGTGGAAATAAACATTCTGGTCACCTCAACATCAGGGATCTTATCAATTAAACTCCTTCTGAATCAAACCGTCACGGTAACCTTACCTTACTGATCCCTCTTACAATAGAAGAAAACACGTTACTTTACCAGCAGAGAGAAAATGGATTATTAAATTATTAATGTGACTAATAAAGAGCAGTTTGATTATTAAGTATTTTTCTGTTGATCGATGTCATTACATTTGTTTAAAAGCACATAAGGACTTGTTTAAGACTCGTTTTGTCAAAGTTTAGGACTTGGACTTGACTTGAACTTGCCCATCCTGACTTGAGACTTGACTCGGACTTGAGCGCAAAGACTTGAGACTTGACTCGGACTTGCAAAAAAATGACTTGGTCCCACCTCTGCTATGCAGCCACCTGTGCCCTGTAATACGAAGCCAGTTCAACATACCCTGGATATGTTTGAGTTATCTTAACTAACCCTAACAAACGAGATCTCGCTAAGCGGTCCTACGAAGCTGGTTATCAACTCGGTAAATCAAGCCAGGGTTTCTCTCTCCAGCTGAGAGCGCGTTCACGTGAAAGGGGTGGGGTTAGCAACATTTGACCAATCACAAACCGGGACAAGTGTACTGACAGCGCAGCGTCATACTTCATTAATGAAAAGTAAACTAATATTAGACAAATATGAACTTTAAACATCCATGACTTAAACACATAATCCAGGATACAAGCCACATAGTTGGACCTGCAAGGTGAATATAGAACAACTGGTTAAAAAATAAATAAACTACCGAGTGTTTGAAATGTAAGCGTACAACAGTTTTATGATATCACTGCCCCATCTAAGACACGAGTGGATCTGACTTTAATTACATTTGAGTTGAGTGTTTCGTCAACCTAATGTGTTGCTTAAAATAATACTTCTGCATACATTATGTGACACTGTAATGGCGCGTTTCCACTGCAGCGCGGAGCGCCGTTTAAGAGAGCTGTGACGTCAGCGGCCCGTCTTTGGTTGCGTTTCCTCTTGGCCTAGTACCGGCTAGCGGGTCCTAATTCACAGTTTTTCTGGCCCCATAAAATCGTGGGTCTAGGGCCAGGAACAACCAGGCTGAGTCGGGCTGAGTATGCTAAACTAGAGAGAGAATCGCTGGCAAGGGGGCTACAACTACAACAAGATGAACATATTTGACCGTGATTTAATTGTAATACACGTTTCAAAATGATGCCGAAGTAAAAACATACTGATACCGGTTACTAAAAACCATGAATTAATGCTTTGACAAGTCTGCAGACAGACGGCAGGCGAAAAACCTTTTAAAATGCGTGTTTTCTAAATGGAGATTGGCTAAGCTAACGCAATATATGCTCCGACCGTCCACACTCACAACAACGGCCTATACAGACATAAATAAACCAGCGACTGTATTCGCCATGACACAGGCAGTCTGTGGTTTGTACTTGTTTAACTTTTGTCTAGTTTCTGAACAGATATGAGGAGCTGTGAGCTCTGAGTGCTAACAGCTAACGGCTGTGTTGTTTTTCTGGGGTTCTCATTGAAGATGACGTCACGGCTCCGCCTACACTGCGTTACTATAGATACTACCCCAGTTCCTAAACTGTAATGGAAATGCGCCATAAAGTGAGCCAGTCCTAACGAAGCCTAGCCATACCGAGCGAGGCCGAGCGAGGCCGTGTAGTGGAAATGCGCCATAAGTGTTGCACGGCCAGATACGGCTCAAGAAGCTGACTCAGATAAGGAAATATATGATATATTATGATATTATATGATCGATGATCTGATTGATGATGTGATATGAATGATAAGTGCGACACGTTGGCGTCTTCTCTGCACTGCATACGGAAGTTTAAACTGTATTTCCTTTATCCTGTAATATGACTTGATAGATTTAAACTCCACACACTGAGCTCTGATTGGTCAGCAGGAGGTGCTTTCACTGAGTTGATCTCTTTTCTGCCGGAGGTGGGCAGCGTCAGGTAAAAAAAGTTATTTAGCCTTCCCAAACCTGAGCCTCACGCGCCGCCTATGTCCGCCATATTTGACAACTACATACGGCAACTCTAATAGGACACTTGACACAGTGGCGTTTGGCAAAGCAGAAAAAGAACACTCAAAAAACCCGACAATATTAATCTTAACTTCTGTTAGACAGCTATCATACTGAATAAATATTTACTGTGAATGTATGCAAAAATGTATGGCATATAGCCATAGATTGTGAATGACCTGAGTGGGGCACAATACTGTGAAGGACAAGGTCACATGGAAAATCCCTATCTCTTCTTCGGTGTGTGTGTGTGTGTGTGTGTGTGTGCGTGTGTGTGTGTGTGTGTGTGTGTGTGTGTGTGTGTGTGTGTGTGTGTGTGTGTGTGTGTGTGAACTGTATGGAAACCCTTTTTAAATTGTATACAATCTGAACAGTTCAAGGTACCATGTGTAGAAAGGTGTGAAAGCGCCTGAGAATGGGGGCGAGATGGCAGCAATACACGTCACAGAATAATTACCGAAACAAAACTAAGTGTTTTTTAAATTTATTAAAATGATAACTACAGTCCGAAAAAACAGGGGAAGCCTGGCTTCCCTTGGCCTCCAGGAGGAAACGCCACTGAATACGACTGTGAATCGTGTACCGATGATTAATAAATTCACACACCGGGTTGTATTTGGACGTTCTGCCTCTGCCTCCTTACTTTGGTCGGGCCGCTCACTTGTCAGCCTCACAACCCCCAAAAGAAAATCTCTGGCCATGTCAATCAGATAAGAGCACCACCGTTTGCTGTTCCTCCTAATAACAGTTCATTTTTGTATGTCGAATAACTGAAATCATTAGTTTGTTTGATGTCATTAATACATATAATGTAATTTTATCAACTTTAAAAAAAAAAAGTGTCAATTTGTCAAATAACTTGGGTTTGTTTCCAGTTACGTTTGTTTTATAATCTCCCTGCACATATCCCTCTCATGTCCATCTGCCTGCAGTGTTGGCGGGTCTATTTATAGCAGGGAGAGGGGAGGGGATGGAGTTTCATCTCTGCAGTGCCGAAGGGGACGACATTATGCTGTACATTATATTCGTTTTTATTACTGGTCGTTCACGTCATACAGTATGTCTACAGCCACATTTCCTCTGTATCTTCAATACTCGGCTGCCACGGTGGAATGACGGCGTCCAATCAGCTGCAGGATTCCCCGGAGCCCCGCCCCGCCGTCTATTTATAATAATGCAACAGCAGCTCTGAGCTCTGACAGCAGACTCTGCATCGGCTCCTGCAGCACAGCCCGGACCAGTGTGACTCTACCTGAGCTCAGCCCAAACCTCCGCTTTAACTAATCATCAATAGAAGTTCCCCGACGTAAAGACAATGACAGAAGGGGACAACAGGCCAGGAGAAGACCGAGCGGAGCGGGGCGAGGAGCCCGCCGGGGCTCCAGCAGAGGAGAGGAAGGAGAACGGGGACAGCAAGATGACCGTCCCGGAGCCGAGCGCGGGGGCTCAGGAGGTGGAGTTCGTGCACCCAGAGGGTGGCTGGGGCTGGGTGGTGATGCTGGCCGCAATGTGGTGTAACGGCTCGGTGTTCGGGATCCAGAACGCCTTCGGAATCCTCTTCCTCTCGCTGCTCCGGGAGTTCGGCTCTGAGGACGACGCTGACCTCGGCTTCAAGACAGGTGAGTGACCCCCTCCCAGGGCCACCAACACAGGCGGTGTAACCTCCACGAGCAATGCTTTAACTTCAGCATGCCTCAGTGTATTCACACATATAGCCATTCAACAAGTCCTCTGGTAGGGGGCTTAAAGCGAAGACCAACGTCAAACCCTTTTTTGGGGAGCGGGGGCGTGAATCTCCTCACGCTAGAACACTTTCCAGACGATTGTGTACTAATAAATTATCTTGCATTGTTGTGCACTTTTTACAATAGCGTGTGTGCCACATAAGTAAGTGTGCTTAAATGTGCGAGTTAGCTAACGCCAGCTACAAGTCATACAATATACTGTTTCCTGGTGAGAGAGGAAACAATGATCAACTAAAGAGAGTGTGTGCGGGGACTCCCCCCTGCTTCTGCTACACCATGAATGTACCGGTATGACCGGGCTGTATTATGCTCTGGGTGGTATTGCTGTCCTGTGGCCGGACCAGCAGTTTGCATCATGTGTTCAGAGAGCACAGAGATTGTGAATGACCTGAGTGGGGCACAATGCTGCCGCTCTTATCTCCCCCTGCTCCTCAGGAAGGGTCCTCTCCTGTTGACCAGACTGTTGGACGTCCTCCTGCCTCGTGCTGCGCTACAGGATGTGACAGGTTAACATCATCGATACCTCATTCTGTTTTAAGTCACATTTGTTGACCACACATGAGTTCAGAGTGAAGGACAAGGTCACTTGGAAAATCCCTATCTCTTCTTCTCTGTGTGTGTGTGTGTGTGTGTGTGTGTGTGTGTGTGTGTGTGTGTGTGTGTGTGTGTGTGTGTGTGTGTGTGTGTGTGTGTGTGTGTGTGTGTGTGTGTGTGTGTGTGTGTGTGTGTGTGTGTGTGTGTGTGTGTGTGTGTGTGTGTGTGTGTGTGTGTGTGTGTGTGTGTGTGTGTGTGTGTGTGTGTGTGTGTGTGTGTGTGTGTGTGTGTGTGTGTGTGTGTGTGTGTGTGTGTGTGTGTGTGTGTGTGTGTGTGTGTGTGTGTGTGTGTGTGTGTGTGTGTGGAACTGTATGGAAACCCTTTTTAAATCGTATACATTCTGAACAGTTCAAGGTACCATGTGTAGACTACGAATATGCTTTTTCATGATTCAGTCGGTGGTGTTAAGTTAGGGAACAGATATTACTTTGTCAATTTAGACCATGCAGTACAGACGTCTGCATTTCCTTTATGTTGTTCCTGCTTGTCAACCTTTAAATGCTATCATTCATGACATGAACCCAATGTCCCAAATGACCAGGGAGTAGAGCAAAGTTAAATGGTTATTGGACTTGCCATGGACTTACAGCCTCTCTCTTAAGATAATGTCCCTACAAGCCAACATCATGAGAACCTGGTTTGGCCAACACACAAGTTGCAGCAACACTGACATAAGTTGCTCATTCATCCTCTTGACTTGTGGTGGAAAGTAATATAGTCACATTTTTTACAGAAACATGTATATACCATTGTGCCATCTCCTTTCACTTGTTTTGTAAGATACCTTAACATTCCTGTGGGTTAGAAGTTACATTTCAAGACTAATTAAAGCTTGTTGCTTAACATACATACATAATATTATACCTGAGTTATGAATATGTTCTGCTATGAGCAGAGATGGGGTCGTTACTCAAAAAAAGTAATATATTACATATTACTTATTACTTTTAAAAAAAAGTAATATATTACTTTACTTCGTTACTCTCTACATAAAGTAACGTGTTACTTTACTCGCAGGGCCGCCCATCCCTACAGGCAGATCACGCAGACTGCGGAGGGTGCTTCATTTGCGGAGGGAGCCTCACCTGGGGCCTCATTTATAAAGGGATATACGCTAAAAAAATGGCGTACGCCAGTTTCTACGCAATGTTTGCGATTTATAAAATACTAACTTGACGGGAAAATGTGCGGTCCTCCACGCAAACTCTAACCCATGCGTACGCACCAAGCACAACAACGGGAGAGACGAGAAACTGCGACACCGTTGGCAGAAAGAAGAATGGAGAGAAATATGTGGAAATAATACCATAAATAAAATGTTACCTCTCATTTATCAAATATGAAGAATTCATTTTCAAACATTGATTAAAGCCAATCTTAAAATGATTAAACAAATGCCTGTTTGAGACTCCTCAGTGCACACAAAAACATAACTTGGAGAAATAAATAAATACGGATATGTTATTTAAAACCACCTCGAATATGTTGTGTTAATGTTATGAAATGTTTTCTCATAAATGATGCGGTAAGCAGGAGGACAGAATTACGTCTAAACTGACGCCGTTTTGCATTTCTATAGGTTGTAGATACGAGCATGGTTTTATATACTATCACGTTTAATCGTGTTTTATGCCGTTTGCCAATAGCCTACTTGATAAGTCGCTCGTAAAACACAGGAGGTATGGAAACTAAGAACACCATATGTGGTAAATTGTACAGCTAATATAACACAATCCATTAGTTTTTTTTTTTTTTTGTCATTAACTTTTTTCGGACCACTTATTTATTTATTTTGGTGACGATCCGACCTCCATGCTGCTACTCTGGTTCAAACTGCATCCACCAAACAATATGATTTATCTCGACCTCCCCAAAATAACCTAAATCTGACACGGTGTGAGATGTCTTTTTTAGCTGTTCTGTCCTCATTTCCTGCGATCTTCTTCATGCAGTCAGTCAGAATGAATGAATGGGCGTTTCTTTGACTATTTATAGGCAAATATGGGCGTTACGTGAAGCCCGCAAAAGCTGCGCCGCATTTCGAGTCGATTGTGATTTATAAAGGGAAACAGGCGTAGGAAGTGCCGTACGCACTTCCCTCGCCGGTACACAATGTTTTGTGAATCGGAAAATGTCAGAAAATGTCTGTACCTATTTTTTTGCTTTGTACGTGAATCCTACGCAAGGCGTTATAAATGAGGCCCCTGAAGCGCAAATGCGGCGCACCTAAAGTGTTACTCGTTACTTTACTCGACATCCTCACTCTGGATTCGGAGGTCCTCCTTAGCTATTAGCTTCACGTTAGCATGTTGTCTTTGCAGGTGCTTGTTGAGGTTTGACGTTGTGTTTGCAGCAGTGGATAAAAACTTCTGGCCTGGGGCCTCATTTATAACGCCTTGCGTAGGATTGACGTGGGAAGGTTGCTTACGTAGTACAAAGCAAAAAAATAGGTACAGAAACTTTCCGACATTTTCCGATTCACAAAACATTGCGTACCGGTGAGGGAAGTGCGTACGGCACTTCCTACGCCTGTTTCCCTTTATAAATCACAATCGACTCGTAACGCCCATATTTGCCTATAAATAGTCAAAGAAACGCCCATTCATTCATTCTGACTGACTGCATGAAGAAGATCGCAGGAAATGAGGACAGAACAGCTAAAAAAGACATCTCACACCGTGTCAGATTTAGGTTATTTTGGGGAGGTCGAGATAAATCATATTGTTTGGTGGATGCAGTTTGAACCAGAGTAGCAGCATGGAGGTCGGATCGTCACCAAAATAAATAAATAAGTGGTCCGAAAAAAGTTAATGACAAAAAAAATACACATAACCTTCCTCAGGCAGTGTGTTTGTACCGGGGACAGGAGACACCCCCCTTGATGAGAAACTAAGAAATGATCGGGGAATCCCTCCGGAGTGGAGTCATGACGACTGGATCTGAATTATTTTGTTGTATTTGGTGGTTTGTGTTCCAGCTGTCGATCAGCAACTATATATCCATAATCCACCAGTTAAAGGAAATACAACTAATGGATTGTGTTATATTAGCTGAACAATTGACCACATATGGTGTTCTTAGTTTCCATACCTCCTGTGTTTTACGAGCGACTTATCAAGTCTTGGCAAACGGCATAAAACACGATTAAACGTGATAGTATATAAAACCATGCTCGTATCTACAACCTGTAGAAATGCAAAACGGCGTCAGTTTAGACATAATTCTGTCCTCCTGCTTACCGCATCATTTATGAGAAAACATTTCATAACATTAACACAACATATTCGAGGTGGTTTTAAATAACATATCCGTATTTATTTATTTCTCCAAGTTATGTTTTTGTGTGCACTGAGGAGTCCCAAACAGGCGTTTGTTTAATCATTTAAAGATTGGCTTTAATCAATGTTTGAAAATGAATGAAAAATGAGGCCCCTGGACACAGTTTGCACCTCACCGTCACATTCCTGTCCTTTCTTCGGACGAACTCAAAATAATGGGCATACCTCCACCCCTCGAAAGTTATCGCTGTTGACTCAGCCATGTTTATGCACTGCATGTGCGGACGCACAAGTCACACAAATGTTACGTAAATATAAACCTGCGGCGGAAATCCCTCTTGTCTGTCAAAGGGAGAATCTAGTAATTCTTTATGTTAGTAGGCTAACTGTAGTGTGATTACTGATTTTATAAAAGTAACGAAGTAACGCGTGTCGGGCAATGTTAGTAACTAGTGTGATTACTGAATTATAAAAGTAACGCGTTACACTACTCCGTTACCGACAAAAGTAATATTATTACAGTAACCCAACTCTGGCTATGAGGCACTCTTTGCCCCTCGTGTTGAACTTTGTTCACAGTCTACAACATCTACCTACTGTTTAACACATGCAACTATTTTATTATGGCTGCTCTTATAACTCTGGCTGCATGGATATACTATGTAGACTCTAACCCCACCTCTGCCGAAGTCCAGAGTTCATTGGCAGTCTGTCTTGATGAATGATGTCTTCCCCTATGTGAGACAACTGGGCCATGGGAATGTGAGGAGGAGGAGGCATGGCAGATGGACTTGAGGCCGCCTATGCAGCTTCCACTGAGGGTTATCAGGTTCTCAAGTGATAACTGTACTCTTTAAACAGACTGAATTTAATATTGAAGGTCTTAATCTCTCCTTGCCTTTTAGGGGACAGATCATGTCAAACTAACTCTGTCTTGAGTGGTTTCATACCTACTAACCCTCAAATTGTGACAAAATACCACCCACAGTCTTTGGTGAAAAC